CGTACTATATGTCTCCCCCTCCCTCTCTCTCTCTCTCTCTCTCTCTCATCCTCTCTATTTCTATCTCTATCTCTTAGTTAGACGCGATGGGAGTCTATAACTGGTATTCAAATGCTCGCGAGATCACCCCTTCGGCCTTCGATGATCTCGACGGTGTTTGCCGACTCCTATTACGAGCTCGATTGCACCAAACTATACGATTATCGTGCATCAGTGAGATAGCCTTTGTACGCACAACCGTTGGAACCCGGAGGTTAAAGAGTTACGCCACTTTGCGCGAACGCCGCGCGCGTCGAAGTATGTATTACGGTGATAAAGGGACCCCGAACTTGAAAACAATTAATCACAATACAAAACATTTGTCAAGCGTCATTCTGTTCGGGCCGCGAGTTTTCTGGTCAACTTTCGCATCAATCTTCTCGCGAAGATACCAGGAGAGATAATCATTTATAATTATTAAAATCATTGCGACTTTTCCAGTTTTGCATGCTATGTCTTCGTAATTTTTTAATCAATTAAAATGCCAACTTAAATCATTTTCATCTTAAAATAATTCTAACTTAAAATTCCGTTAAAGTAGGATTGTTAATTAACTGTATGCGCGTCGCGTGCGCGTCATCAATTCAATTAAAATTGATTTCCACCCGTAGCGACACATCAAACGACGAACCACCCCCTCGTGCTCGTGATGCTTTCTCTGATTCCGGATTCCCCCTGGGCACGGTGGAGCATCGTCATAAAGCAGCGACCATCTCGCAATTGCTATGAATATTCAAACGGGAGTCGGCGATGGCAGCAATGCCGGTTTGTTTTGTCCTTTTGTCAGCGCGATCATTACATCTCGCGACCAATTTTTCTATCGACTCGCGAGAGCGAGATGCACGAGGGGGAGTCTGACGTTTCGTGCAATATTGACGATATTGGAAATGTTTAAACCGGAAATGGAAGGCGCTGAGAACGCCAAGCGTATCCCGCCGCGTTATCCCGCGTACCCGGGCTCCTTCACCCCCGAAGTGCGCTTTCGAAAATCCCTTATTAACGACGGGTCTGGTATAGCGCTATTATGACGTTTCCACGGCGCGAGCAAACGCTTATATCCAGTGACGTTACCGGGTCCTACGCACGCTGCATATTATTTGGGAACTAGAGACACGCGCCGGCACGCTCCCATTCATCTAAGCTGCTATATTGCGCCCGCCTCTCCCCCTTTCCTTCCTCCCTTTGCGTGCCCTGTCTTAATTATTGAGAATAACTACGCGTTTTCGGCGCAACTAATTCGTGGCAATATTTATTAAGGGGTTAAATCCTAAGCCGGATATATACATACTCTCAGGGGTCTTTATTGCTGCTCAGCTATTTTTACGCGTGAATATATAAACTTTCCCTGCCCGTACCTAACATGTCCGTCTTTTTTTCATTTGTTTCCAGGTTATCGAAGCGGATCGGAGTATGGTCAATCGAATTATGGTTACAACAGTGCCGGTTCGAGTCAGATGCATGGACCATGGGCGTCCAGTTATGGCATGCGCCAGTCGAATTATCCATCCTTGGAGTATCATCACCGTAATCAGTACAATAATCATCGTCAACAATCCTCGCGGAACAGTTACCAGAGTTCACAGCAAGGCTATCACAGTCAGCGAGGGGTATGTCATTTTGTTACTTTTATTATGTGAGGTATTAAAAGAATTTTTAAGGATAATACATTCACTAAATAGAAAATATCTACTTCACTGGATACTGGATTGAAAGAATTAAAATTAATCAGAATTAAAATTAAAAATTAATACATGAAAATTGGGGAAAACATAATACAAAAGGAAGAAATTAAATTCTACCGTTATTTTGACCTAATTTTAATCATTTTTTAAATATTTTTATTTTTAATTTTGTTTCATCAATTTTGAAATCGAAAAGATAGAAATTTTTAAAAGCAAATTCTTTTTTAATAAGATGAAGAAAATTGTGGTATCATTAAAATGGGATAATAGATTTAGAATGGGTTAGAATGGATTATTAGATTTAGGGAATGTTGCTTATCTCATGTTATAGAATTACTCGTCGACTCGAGGAGGAGGTGGAGGAGGCCACCGAGACGGATGGCGACGAACGATGTAGATGTTAGAGTAAGAGATCGACTAATTTTGTCGTTCATCATGCAATAGTTAAGGAATTCTATAAAGAATCACACACCGCGCATTATAATTATTTAGTTAAGGTTTAAGGATCATTGTCAAAGTACGCGTTCTAAATAAATGCATCAATTCGAAAATGGTTTAACGAGACATATCGGAATTCTTGACGGATTTTTAGTGCAATAAAAGAGCGCGATTATTGTCGACTGATTACTGTTCAAACACTGTATTTTTTAGTACCACAGTCAGATTTTTTTTCTAACTCGATGTTGTCTCAGAGATAACATTACGTATTTCTATTTTTATTTCTATTTTTGCACATATAGATGCTTTTAACAAATATCAATGTTTAAATATATATGCAATATGCTGCACAAGGGATTTTTCCTGATTATAAATCGATCGATAAATTCTTAATTGCATAAAATTTTTTGCAAAGATACAATAGCGATTGTCATTTTTGATTTTTGTCGCGAGATATTGGGACAAAACGGAAATAACAATTTTACAAGAAAGCAGATTCAATCGAAGAGAAAACAAAATTTAGTATCTATTTATCGATACTAAAATGTTTTCTATCAAACATTTCAATTTTTTTGTTAATTTTAATATCATAGAATTCATAATCGAAAGAAAACCCGCAAAAACTGATATAGCGTTTGCTGCATTTATCGGAAACGATATATATTAATTCATATATTAAAAACATGCGTAAAAAGCATAAGCAAAGATCAAGCAACAAATCGCTTAATATTTTCAATAATAAAAAATTAAATTTAATAAGAAAACATTCAATTATAATTTGTTTCTTAAATTATACTATTATATGCTCTTTTTTTTTATAAATGCAATATGTTATATAGTATTGATACATATTGGCGATTATATTGGCGACTACATTCTTTTAGTATGCGTATGCTTATCAGACGTCGGCTTTATTTTTCGCATTTATGGGTATATCGGCAGAAGCCTATTTTGTTCGAATCTACGAACGTCTTTCTCGATCAGGATATTTATTCAATCAGATTGCACTTTTATAACGATCGATATGATAGGATATGGTCGGATACGGTAGGATTCTGACGTCATCGTATTTGACGATTAGAACGAGTACGTTGACGAATACATGTAATTTGTGGATTGTATACTAATGGCTAACGCGGTAAAATAATAAATTAAGGATACCAGTGTCGTTGCATTGAATTTCGCATGTGAAACTGAATACACAGTAATGTATGCTAAATATAATGCCAAGGTATAACGATACACCGATGTGGTACCGAATGACCGAATGGCATTTGGAATTTTTCTCTGTATTGAAATACATGATATTTCCTTAATGAAGGCTGCTTAATATTTATTGCACTTGTAACAAGAAATTCCTATATTTTTCCCGTCATTCCTCGAACAAGCTTTAAGCTGTAATATTAATTCTTAATCTCGGTACTCGGAGTTCAGTACTCGGAGTGTTAAATGGGTATTATTGATAGCGAATATAAAACAATTTAGTCTTATATAAAGAAAATTAAAAAAGAAAAATTTCAGGTAATAACCATATTAATTTTTTTCTAAAGAAAAAGTTATGAAGCAGATAGATTAATGAAATTAAAGTGTCATATACATATAACATAATTGTGTAATATTTTGTGGCATTTAGATAAAAAAAATTCTATCTTCTTTTATATGTTGCAATTATGTTTCTTCCTAGCGAGATTGTTTTTTTTTTTTTCATAATGGCTAATTAAGAATATGGACCGATAGATTTTTATTCAGATTATAAATTGCGTGTGTTGGAAGGACAAAAGTGCGTCTCTTCGCACGGCATTCGACGTTATCGCGGTTCCCATTATTGTGCCCCGTGATGAAATAAAGCTCTATCTAACACCGAGATCTACCCTACGCTAGTAGTTGCGGTCGCTTATCAGGTACACCACCCTCTCGATTTCTCTCTATTGTCTGCAGCTCTTTAAGCGCAGGGCTTGCATCGTAAGTCGTCGCAACGCGTTTATTTGCAAAGACATTGTGCGAATCTGACTCGATAGGAAAAAGCGTTATAACGAGACTGTCGTTATCTTGATAACGGTCTTTCTAAGTTTCGTAAAATTTACAATTTTTATAATCGTATTTCTTCTAATATGATAATAAGATAATATGAATAAGATAATATGATAATAAGATCTGTTCTTTTTAGCTAAACTTCTTTAAATTTAAATTTTTAATCTAAATTTTATAATTTTTATAATCGTATTGTTTCTAACATGATAAAAACCTGTTCTTTTTAGCTAAACTTCTTGTGTGCACGATTCATCCCGTTTCCTTTTTCTCTCCGACGTGGACAGATAAAGAAGGAGGAGGATGCAAAACGGTGCAAGAAACTCAGGCTCAATATATTTCTCTTTTATATCTATTAGTATGATTTTCCCTTCTTAAATATGAAGATTTCCTAAAGATATGCGATATTTGCCAATTCCAACACCCGCGAATTTCGATGATGGAGTGTGCAGATAAGAGGAAAAGGAGACGTAGAAAGAAACTACTGGGTGTACGTAACTGAAGGCGGTACGTTGGGTGGTTGAATCGCATAGTAGATGGCAGTGAGGACTCTTAGGCGCACATGGAAGAGGAGATCCAGGTGCGCCCTCACCTCACACGATCGCGTATGACCGCACATCGAAGTTCTCTTTTACCTTTTGTCTCTTTCTCTCTCTTCCTCGTTCCCTTCGCTTCTTTTTTCTCCTCTCCCCGTCTCATTTCATATACGCGCTCACGAGGAATACGCGTGCGTACGCTTTGCCGACTAACGTAAAAATCCTCCTGCACTCGTACACGAACGCAGGCATCTAAAGCTTGAAGAATGAGGGGGAGGGGAGGGAGGAGATGGGGTTTGCTGAAGAGCCGTTGCGCGAAATGGATGGTGGATGTAAATGCCAAGTAGCCAAGTGTACGCCGCCTGTGGCTTTCTTCTACGCCTTCCCGCCTGCCGTTCCCTCTCCTCTTCCTCCGAGAATAACGCTGCCATCGTTTAATAAGTAGGCATTGCCCGAGAATCGTTTGTAAGACGTTTTGCGAGACCACGCGGAAAGATCAAGCAGCTGCCGATAATTCTTTTTATTTTTTCTTTTATTGTTTTTTTAAGTGGTACGCTGGCAGCGGTACGACGGGATGTCCTCCCCGGTTCGCTCCAAAGTTCGGTTACGCTCTGTCTTCCGAAGCCGCGTCATTTCGAAAGAATTTCTCTCATCGCCGTTTTACCAATATCGGATATAAAACTCGCGTTTGCAATTCGTGTTATCTCTCCCCGTATTTCGAGATCGACATATAAAACATTGTCCCCTGTTCAGTTAACGACTCATAAAAATATTCCTTATGTCTTAAAGATAACGAGCGATTTTGATGAGCAGGCTTGATGAGCAAAAAAACGAAATTTCTTTGCTTTTTACTTTGCTATACTATGTAAATATATAAAGCGAAGACGAGAACACTCACCGGTGAGAATTGATATTAATGGCGGTTTTAGTATCAAACGAAAAGAGCGATTGAAATAAAAAAAATATTATATCGCGTTACTTAATATCGCCGTTGTTAATACGGCCATTATAATGCGGGGAAGACGAACATCGCCAAGGAAACTGGTGGGTGGTCGGGCCGCATGACAGGTCACGGAAAGGTGAGTGAGCCCTTCGTGAGCGCATCTCGTTACCGGCGACGAACCGGGGACGAGCGCCAAGCACCACGATGACGCAGCACCAGCTCCTGGTTACCTCTGTCCATTGTTCTCCCCGCATTTCTTCTCAGCTCGTGTTCAAGTGCTCGAGAGCTCAATCGCTACCCACCCTCGAAGCGCCCGGATCCCTCGGCGTCGTACTTTTAAACGTACCCCCGCGCGCGCGTTCCGTATACAAATGTCGGCTTCTATTCGATTTCGCGCACAAAGCGGTCGGTTTAGCACAGTCACCGCGACAGATTCGCCCTGCAAAGCCTCTATCGTCTCGATATTTTTTTATAGTAATATTGCCGTTTGTTGAGAAAAATTTACGAACGAGCCGAACGACTGAAGATAGACAAGGGACAATATAGGAGTAAAAATCCTACGAGTCAATCTCACACTAATTCTTACTCTTATTATTTAGAAGAATTAAAAAATAATAGTTCTGAATTTGTGTGCGTGTGCGTGTGCATGTATGGGGACTTAAATTAAATTTATATCACACGGGGATGTCAGATGAATCCATCATATTATTTATAGTATTATTTAATTAATATCATTTTTAAACAATTCAATAATAAAGAATATTATTCAAATAAGTGGATATAACAAGTAATAAATATTTGGCAAGGATCTAATAATTTTATTTTAATTTTTTAAATTTAAATATATGTAAATTTAAGATAATTTCTTACGTCGTTAATGTATTATTTTTATTTGGATTTTCAATTATGCTTGCAAAAGTTGCTTGGAAAAATTTAAATATTATTAATAAAATAAAATTAATTATTAAATAGAGACATAAGCCTCAATGAATGATTAGAATAATTCGCATATGTTTAATATTACGCGTATGATTAATAATTATTAATGATTTTTATTAAATAACATGACTGAAATATACCACGTGATTAGGGAGCATTTTGTCGCTCTTTTTTATTATATATCCCAATTATTAAGTAGCACCCAAAATATTTCAAAAATAACAATTATGCATAAAATAATTATAAATAGTTAATTCTACAAGTAAAACCAACACCAGACTATTCACGATTCTTGATTTACAAATTATGATTCCTTTATATAATGTAACTTTATTGAAAATTTAAATGAATAAAAATAATACATGACAAAAATTAAGTTACATTATTTGTTTAACATTGTAACATCTCCTTTTGAGAAAGTCTTGATTCAAGTGAAAATAACGTGTCAATATAAATTCATAATTAACATAGATTTGATTTCATAAAAATAATTCGTCAAATTGCACACGTGACAAAAGAGCGAATATGCAAGCTCGATAAATTTTCATTTATTCGCGAATTACAAACCCAGAATTACGCATAGTCTGGATAATTTAAGAAATAATATATAAATACCTGGTAAAAATTGTCCATCGTCGTCCATTGTCGTGGTTTCTCCCGTCATCCGATGTTCTCTCCAAGGCTGCCACTTCCTTTTGCACGTAGGATTCTTCATTAATGCACTCGCGAAAATACGATTAATTACGATCGCGCATATGAACTGTTAAAACATGATAATCACGCGATACTTTTCATAGCACTCTCGACAAATTAAATGCGACGCACCGTATGTATGTAGTATCGAAAAAGAATTTATATTAAATATCAAAATAAGAGAGAAAAAAATGATACATAAAAAATATATTTAAAAATTAAATGGATTATGTGATGTCGCTCGAATTTGGAATCGATTTACGCATACAACAAATGTTTATTACATCGTGATTAATTAAATGGCTGGTTTCATGGTTTATCTCATTAGTGTCCGTATATTATTTTGCGACTTGTGTAATGTATCGAGTTATCGGTAAAATATTATTATCGGTAAGCAAATTATTTTTAAAACGATGAAAAATTCGAATCACATTATGGGATACGTCCAAATTCAAGCCATTAATTCAGTTATTACGAAATTAATTATTGCCCGTAGCTCTGGCGCAGAATAATATGATAACTCTCGTTTCTTATTAATTCGATTGCAAAATGAATAAATTGTTATTAATAATATTTGCTTTAATAAACGAGCATTACGTTTACAAATTTGTAATCGTGTAAACTAAAAATTGTTTATGGTAACGATTTCGTAAGATTTTGCGATCGAGTGTTTGTGATATCATTTCGTTGCGTGAAAAAAATACGAAGATACGCGAAGTCCAAGATTACGCGAAACACATTCGAATTTAAGTATTTAGGAAATAATTATCACCGTAAAGCGCGTTAAATTATACTGCTTCTCTTTCTCTATCGTGATCGTATTTGGTTCTTTTATTTTAAACGAAGAAATCGCTCGGAATCTCCCTACTGCGATACGTAAATCTTAGCGACGATACATCCTCGAATTTTTAATCGCGTCTGCGAACTCCCATTTTCAATGTAGATTAACGTTGATCTCGGTTAAATTCACTCTCTATCTTTATATAATTCTATAAGAATTACATAAGAGGATAAAAGGTAAATTGAACCGAGATCAAAGTTTGATCTACATTGATAGGAAGGGGAAGAAGAGTCTCGTATTGTAAAGGACGCGTGATATAATTGTTAATTGTTACCGAATTGTTAATTCTAACATTTTCGTGAATGTAATTTCGAAAAATTAGCTAACGTGGAGACCGCAC